AGCTGACATGGACTGGTATTGGCCATTTTGAATCTGACAATCACATGATTTACTATGTGGAGGGTCAGAGAAAAAGAGGAAGATCCCAAACTAGATGGATTGGCACAGTGTCAGCAGCAGTGGGCTCAAATGTTTGTGAGGTTGGCACAAGACAGGGCAGTGTTGTGTTCTGTTATACATAAACAGTACCCACTGGATGGCACCTAACAACTACAACACAATAAAGTAGTGGCCTAGTCCTTTGATGTCTGAACTATGGTAACTCAAGAATAGTCTGGGATATGGCATCTAATCTTGGCAAAGAGCTCATTTCTTCCCAAAGATACTGCTGTTGTTAAGTGCTGCCAAGCCCCTTCCAACTCATATAGCAACCCTGTATTGAGGTTTGTTGTTGTTGTTGTTGCTGCTAAGTGCTGTTGAGTCCGTGTCAACTCATAGCAACCCTGTATAGGAGTTCCAAGGAGCAGCTGGTGCATTTGAACTGCTGACATTGTGGTTCGTAATCCAGTGACCCTACACCACACCAGGAGCCCTGTATAGATTTGTTGTTGTTAAGTGTCATTAAGTGTGTTCCAACCTATAGTGACCCTATATAGGGTTTCCGAAGTGCAGCCAGTGAACTTGAACTGCCAACCTTAACCTTTAAACCTGCTTTGTAGTCCAGCACATTAACCCACAGCACCACACCAGAACTCCTATATAGGTTTATGAGGTTTTAAATCTTTTGAGGGAGCAGAAAGCCTCATCTTTCTCTCATGGAGTGGCTGGTGTGCTCGAACCGCAACTTTGCCTAAGTGTTTATCCTATGGAGCCACTTCCCAAAGATAGTTCTATAAAGTATTATCAAATTATTTAATGCAAGATGAATTCACTTGTGAACAGGAATGTTTTCCTACCTGAGCACTCATAATTATTACTTCCTTGTTAGGGTAAAGACACAGACAGCTCTCCAGGAACTCACCCCAATTGTCAAACTTTCCCCCACTTGCTTACCATTTTCATGATGTACACAGGCATACACACTCACTCACACACTGATATCAACCAAATATTCTGTATCATTTTTGTACAAAAATAATTTTTTTTTGTTTGCTTGACCATTTATTGACTGCTCTTAACATCGAAATCTGGAAAAGCAAAAGTAATGAGTTTTGCATATGGTGGTGATGGTGGTTATGTGCTGTGGAGTTAGTTCCTACTCATAGCAGCTTTGCATATGGATACTGTAAATTATCTAAGTATTTAGCATTGTACTTAATAAATGTTGAAAGATTTTTGTGAATTCTCAAGCTTTAGCCATTTGGGAGAAGATTTAAGACTTATATCTATGATACTAATTGTCCCTGAAAGTACTTTATAATATATAAATTGCAGTATAAATATTACATGTCATTTTTTCCTGATGTGCTAGATATGCTAGAACTTCAGGTCTGGGGAGAAATTTCCTTCAATAAACATGGAATGATAAAACAATCTCATGGAAATTTTACTTAGAGAGAAAAGCTCATATCCATGTTCTCTTTTTCTCTAGTTTGTATGACACCAGTCATATGCTAACTTCCCAGAAAGCCTAGTGATTTCTTACCTTCTAAAACATGCATGATCAAACATGTTGCAGGTGTCCAGATAGACAATGAGACAATTGCTAACATGAGCATTCTGGATGCATCCTCAGATTGTCAGTAAATTCATCCCAAGTGAGGAAATTCTAACATTCCTGGAGGAAGCACTGGATGGTCTGGAAAGCCTCAACCCTACTTGCACAACGGCCTGTGGCATATGGATGATTGCTGTCCTGAAGGAACAGGGTGCTACACTGGAAGATCAGGTGAGCTGACAGCTAGCTGCACAATCAAGTAAAATTCTAACATTTTGGAAAGATCAAGTCCAGAACATCCTCAGTTTGCCCCTTGGTGGGCAACAGGCAAGAGCACATGCATTGTAGAGGTGCCACAACAAAGACCCAAGCTATGCATTAACAAGGCCCATGTTGAACACCTGGGTCAACCTGTCCTTAATGCCTCTCTAGTTTGTGATCATAAAAGCCTCACCGTGACCAGAGGAAACAGCTCTGAACCAAGGGTACTTGCAGTTCTAGAATCCTGAGCTGTAAGATCTGTGAGGACAATAGTAATCACAGAGGAACTACTGAGACAGCCACCAAAGCCCATTAGAATTCCTGATGCCTCCGCCATTGTCCAGACTGCTCTTCTGCATACCACCTAAATTCTTGTTAGGAATTTATTGTCCTAACAAGAACTAGGTTGAGGAAAGTTCTCAACCCTTCCTCTTTTCAGGAGATCTAAGCAGAGTGACTAGAATTGAAATTCAGATTGGAGTCTTAATGTGGTACTGTAGGATAAGCATTGGACCATGAGGTCAGTTTGACCAGCAAGGTCAGTGGTTCAAACCCACCATTCTCTCCTCAGAAATGTTATACAGAGTTTCTAGGAGTCAAAACAGACTCAACAGCACTTAGCAAGACAAAGAAGCTTGGTTAGGAGCTCCAAATAAACTCTAACCTCTTTTCTAAAGAACACACAAACAATTTAAAATTGACCCTATACAGGGTCACCCTGAGTCTGAGTAGGTTCTAACTCAGAGCAACCCTGTATAGGGCTTCCGAGGAGCAGCTGGTGGGTTTGAACCACTGCACCACCAACCTTGTGGTTCAACAGTCCTTATCCTACAGCGCCACACCAGGAGTTCATTTAAAAACTAATGATAGGTAAAAGTTATTTAACTAAGTGAAAGATTCTCAAAAAGAATAGGAGAGCGCCGTTCTGGCTCCATTAACCCAGAATCACTCAACTTCAATCAAAAATCTGTTCTCCAAAGCATGGCTTTTTGTTTAAGGATATAAGAAACGGTCTCTGAGCTAATTACTTTTTAATCAATTTTTGTTAATGTACTGGTTACATTTCATGAGGAAGACATGAGAGTAGGCATGAGTAAATGAAAGCTAATAAATCTGGAGTCCATGTGTTTGTGTATATAGCATAATGGAATGATAGTTATATAATGTTGTTATGTGCCATCAAGGCAATTCCAACTCATAGCAACCTTATACAGGGTTTCTAAGGAGCAGGTGATAGATTTGAACTGTTGACATTGTGGTTCACAGTCCAGTAATGATCCTACGGTGCCATACCAACAGTGTCATATTAATGTTCCATTATATAATTTTTCTCTAGTTTAAGAAAAAAAAAAAAAAAGGCTTTACCTAGTTTTTTTAGGGATATGTTTTACATAATAGGTAAAGGTTTATCATAGAGACTTAAATCCTCTGTAGCTACCATTAAAATGGGGTTATACGCTAATCATGTTTGGAGAATATTTATGATTTTTGTTCATCACCGTTGAGACAGTTCCAACTCATAGTAGCCCTGCACTTCCAAGGAGCAGCTGGTAGGTTTGAACTGCTGACCTTGTGGTTTGCAGTTCCTTATAATTATAAGGAACTATAATTCAGAGAAAATGTCTTGGTTAACTTTTTAAAAAATCTATCAAAAACTTAATGTGCCGTGAGTACGTGTCTCTGCCAAAGATTTTAAAAAGAGAAATATATGTTAGAAAAAAATTCATTTAGATTAGAAACATGTCTTCTCCATATCAAAAATCCAAAAGTACAATATCATTTCCTACTGTTCACAAATTATTGTCCAGATTCAGAAAGATGACCTCAATACCTTCTAGAATCTGCTGTCATCTTTTCAATCAAGTTTTCTTCCCTTCATCGCCTTCATTCTCTCTGTGCTCCAGAAGGAACTTTCTCCTATTTCAACACATTGTGGGGCATTTTCTTATGCCCATTTTCTCACACAGTTTCATTTTATATCTTTACTTATGTGCTTCTTTCTGACTAGGATGCCCTTTCCCACACTGTCCATCTTGCCTTTTGAAACTGCTACATATCCTTCAATACCTAAACCAGATGCTCCTCTGCAATGACCTCAGTTGCTTCTGGAGTCTTCCATCAGTCGTATGCACCTCTCTACACCATTTGTCATATACTGTCTGTGTGCAGGCCTTTGGGTCCATGGTTGATAATGTTCATTTATTAGATCATTCACTTCCTTTAAGAAAGGGCTGCATGTTATTCATCTTTGATAAATGCCCTATTGTACTTAACACAACATAATGCATACTTTCACTAAAGGTTTCCTAAATTGAATGAAATAAATATCCAATTCACCGGTGTGAGAAATAGACATTGTAGGGAAGTTACTATTGTTTTTAGGGGTACTTATAATTTATTAAACCACCTGCCCCCATTCTCAATATGCTGATGGGTCTTGAGGCATTCATGTGGAGGGAAAATGGCAACTCACTATTTGATTTGGCTTACTTTTTTTTTAGCTATTGGAGATCTTGAACACAATTTACCATCATATGCCAGTCCTCAGACAGAAGGAGGAAAGTTTTCACTTTATGCTAGAAGCAATATCCCAGATAACCAGCTTCCACACGGATGCAGTTGTTGCCAACATTTTGCAGAAGCCTTTGCCCTTTGACAGGTAGATGCTAACTGAACAGGTCTGTTCTCCCAGGAATGGCCACATAACAAAAGCATTGGTGGTTGTTGTTGTTTGTGGTGGTGGTTATGTGCTGTGGAGTTGGGTCCGACTCATAGCCACCATGTACAGGGTTTCCGAGACTATAAATCTTTACGGGAGCAGAAAGCCTCATCTTTCTCCCACGGAACTGCTGATAGTTTCGAACTGCTGACCTTGAGGTTTGCAGCCTGATTCGTAACCACTATGCTACCAGAGCTCTTTGTTGTTGTTGTTGTTATGTGCCATAAAGTCAGTACCCATTCACAGCAATCCTGTGCACAACAGAACAAAACATTGCCTGGTCCTGCAACAACCTCACAATTTTTGCTACTCTTGAGTCCTTTGTTACTGCCACAGTGCCAATCCATCTAGTGGGAGGTCTTCTTTTACTTTGACCCTCCACTTTACCAAGCATGATGTCATTCTCCAGGACTGGTCCCTTCTGATAATATGTCCGAATTATGAGAGATGAATTCAGGTCACGTTGGCTACCAAGGAGCATTCTGGTTAAACTTCTTCCAACACAGATTGGGTTTGTTATTTGGCAGTCCATGGTACTATTAATATTCTTCTCCAAAACCATAATTCAAATGCATCAATTCTCCTACAGTCTTCCTTATTCATTGTTCAATTTTCAAGTGCATATGAAGTTATTTTAAAATACTGTGATTTTGTCGTTAGATGCCATTGAGTCCATTCTGACTCATTGTGACCTTATCACAACAGAACAAAACACTGCTTGGTCCAGTGGTATCCTCACAATCGTTAAGCTTGAGCCCACTGCTGCTGCCTCTGAGCCAATTCATCTAGTTGGGGGTCTTTCTGTTTTTCACTTACCCTCCACTTTACCAAGCATGATATCCTTCTTCAAGGAATGCGCCCTCTTGATATTATGTCTGAAGTATGAGAGACGAAGTCTCACCATCCTGGCTTCCAAGGAACATTCTGGCTGTACTTTCAACACAAATTGATTTGTTCTTCTAGCAGTTGATGGTACTTTTAATAATCTTCTCCAGTCCAAACTCAAATGCATCAATTCTTCTGTGGTCATCCTTATTCAGTGTCAAACTTCACATGCATATAAAACTATTTAAAATACCATGGCTTGGGTCAGGAGCACCTTACTCTTCAAACTGTTATTTTTATTCTTCAAAACTTTAAAGAGATCTTACAAAACAGATTTGCCTAATGCAAGATATTGTTTGATTTCTTGACTGCTGCTTTGATAAGTGTTCATGGTTGATCTGAGCAAAATGAAATCTTCATTTTGACAACTTCCATCTTTTCTCCGTTTCCATGGATTTTGTTTATTGGTCCACTGGTGAGGATCTTTGTCTTCTTTACATTGAGGTGTAACCCATACCAAAAACTTTGATCTTCATCAATAAGTATTTTAAGTCCTCTTCGTTTTCAGCAGGCAGGGTTGTATCAACTGAATATAGCAGGTTGCTAATGAGTCTTCCTCCTATCCATCCTGATGCCATGTTTTTCTTGTAAGTATGGTGAACAAATACAACCCTGGAACACACCTTTCCTAATTTTAAACCATTCACTATTCCCTTGTTTTTTTTTCAACAGTTGCCTCTTGGTCTATGTACAGGCTTCTCATGAGCACAAATAAGTGTTATGGAATACTCATTCTTTGCAATGTTGTCCATAGCTTGTCATGATCCACACAATTGAAAGTGTTTGCATAATCAATAAATCACAGGTAAACATCTTTCTGGTATTCTTTGCCTTCAAGTCAAGATCCATCTGATGTTAGCAATGATATCCTTTGCTCTACATCCTTATCTGAATCTGGCTTGAATCTCATGTCCTTGTCTTAATCTGGCTAGAACCTCTGGCAGCTCTCTGTCAATGTACTGCTGCAGTCGTTGCTGAATTATCTTTAACAAAATTGTAGTTGCATGGAATATTAATGATATTGTCCAATGATTTCCACATTCTGTTGGGTCACCTCTCTTTGGAATGGGTACAACTATTTGGCCAACTGATTGGAAGAGATGGCATCAATATCTGGGCCTTGTCCTTTACCAATGGCTTCAATGCATCTTGGAATTGTTCTTCAGTATCATTGGCTCTTGATCATGTTACCTGTTGAAATGGTTGAACATCGACATTTCTTTTGATAAAATGGCTCTGTGTATTCCTTCCATCTTCTTTTGATGCTTTCTGCATCTTTCAATATATTGCCCATAGAATCCATTAATTATGTAATTTGAGGCTTGATTTTTTTTCTT